AGCCCGGCGAACTCGTTTTGTTCAGCAGAAGTAGTACAAGATCGGATATTATAGTAAGTTTTGTGATTAAGAGGAAATCTAATCTGTTTAAGTACTCTGAGAGCAACAGAGTACGAGATATTAGCTATTTGAAGCGACTTACCCAGCTCTATTGCAGGCAAATACTCTGGCAACGTCTTAACGTGCTCACAAAGATATCTCAGTGGATTTATAGCCATTAAATGAGTATGGGTATCCTGACAAATGCTTAAAACAAAGCTAAATACCCCAGAACCACGCTTGCTAACTTGCTTATAAGTGAGGCAGATACAGTAAGGGCAGTTGCGAGCGTTGATATTAGTGGCCTCTTGCTTTCGACGGCTAGTTATCTTATCCTCCTCATCCCTCTCAACATGCTTCTCAAGCTGACGAGTATCAAGAGTGCTGACTCTCCGTGGTGTATACAGCGAAATTCGAATCGCGGGCGAGCTGCCTTTATGCTACCACTCTTTCGGACGATAGCAAACCCTTGCGATAGGGCCCAGCCCTGTAAACGCTCTTGACAAACATCCGGATTATCGAAGAGCTCCCCAGAGATAGGGGCCGTCAAGAAGGAGGGAGGGAAGGACCGTACACGCGCCTCGAGCTCTGCTTTGATATGCTCCGGGCAATTAGGATGAGCAGTCCACAGGGGGGTGGCCATAACAACGACAGCAACAATAGTACGCGAATGGACCGCTCCGAAGGCATTCCGCACATTCTGCCCGGTACTTGGATGCTGTAGGATGGTCAACAGAACCGTAGGCGAGAGCCGCACTGCACCCATGAGTGTTAGATCTTGCAGAATGGTCATCTGGTTCTTTTCGTCTTTTGTCTTTTCAGTCTTACTAGGCACCACTTCTCGGGACGATGTTACTTATTGGCTAGTACTCCTTCGATTCTTTGCTGGTCAGAACGCCCGACGAGAGTGACGTATTTCACCCCCACCAGTTCAAGCAAGAAGCTTTATGTGAGCCAAGCCACACCCATGGCTGTTTGGACAGCCTTGCTTGTGCCATAGCCGTGGCCCAATCTGTGGAGTCCTTGGACCCCACTTACGTCGTACAAGGGAGCTCACCCCTGTAAGTGGGTCCCAGAGGGACTCACCTATTGGGCCACGGTTAGGGCGCATTCCGCAAATGGGGGCCGTTTGGACGCACTTGGCCCCAGCGTCTTGGGCACTTCTTACCAGCAGCCAAACAAAGTAGCAAAGGCAGGGCAGAGAGTGCCTGCAAAAAGAACCAACCACTCCAGTCAGAGTGCGACAACTCAGCTGTGCATTTTCGATGTGCAGCCTGATATTGACGTCCGTTAAAAGCGAAGCAACCCCTCATCTAATATTTTTTGAGCCTCATTGAAGTCCTCTCGAAGATGGATCGTTGGAAAAATCTAGACATAAGCGCTCCTCGCGCATGTACAATTCATATCAACGACTTGAAATATTATGTTTGGTTGAGCACGCATCAGCAAATATATGGTCCACACCGGCCTGCTTATATGGTCAGTCCTACCCGCCTGAACATGAAACCCTGTTACCCACTAATGGACCTCGATCTAGCCTTCCGAAACCTCTATCAACATTACCGTCCAGGCAAATGGAGTAGATGGTGGTGCGATTGATATACTGGCAGTGCCATATGATCCAAACCTAAGACAAAATTTAATCTCAACCGAGTACGCTCGACTGACTCGGGGAAACATCTTGAGAATTGAAAGTACGATTTCTTTCCAAGACCGGCAAGGGAACGTCTACGTCTCATGCTCATACATCAATCTGAAATGGTGGCGGTGTGGAGACACGGTCTCTTACAAAGATGATTTCTACATTACTGAAGATCTCCCGAGGCATCGCTCAGCCATGCTTCGAGGTAGACCAGATGGCGCTGATGATGACAAAAAAGCACTCCCCCTTTACCTTAAGGTTGAAAGTCCCGGTACGTCTTCCCGCCTGGTTTGCAAACTGTGCAGCTTTATCCCTGACCCATATCCGTTTTCATGGGGTGAACAGATGAGAAGAAGCGCGCAGAAGACAGAAGCAAGCACGAAAACAGTGTCCAAAACGCAATAAGACAGGCTGAAGACCAGAAAGTAAAGGACAGGATCAGAAATGCAGCTTCTCCAACTTCCAAGAAATCTACCAGACATGCCTAGTGGTCTTAGGCCTTGAACAATGCAACGATGTAAGGCATTGATATGGATAAACGTTTTATATTCCAAACGTGATGAAGGAAGAGCGCAGCGGCGTGGACAATCGTTCTACTCCAGAAATAGTCAAAGATGTACCCGGTTTGTCATCGACAGAACCGGCAAGGAGACTTGGTTTCTTACGAGATCTTAATCCAGTACGGACTAATGACAGGGGAGCCAGGAGATATGGTTTCTTAAGCACTTTTGAGTCCAACGCCGAAGAAGAGAAGGTAATAATCGGCCGAGACATCTCGAAAAAGGTCGTCTCAAATTATATAGACGTTTTCTCTTACTTTTGGCAACAACATGACGCTGCGCTCTTACCGAATATCAAGTTTTATCCTCACAGTACAATTGACAGTGCACTAAGCCAAGACCCCCAGTAATGATGCCCCAGTACTGGCGCGCTTCCGAAGTAGGAAATAGGTGTTCATCGACGCCATTCTACACTCTGACTCAAGATTCCGGGACATTAGATGTTATTTTCGATGGTCTTTGCGGCCGCTTTGGACATCAAGTGTACCACAATGATCATGTAATCTATCCCTCCCTTTCTGTCCCCTGCATTTAGTTTAACCGCTCCTGTCACAAACGTGCCCCAACTTGAAAACTCATCAATTTGTGGCTGTTGCTATTTTCGATGGCGGTGAGCAAATCCCGAGCATTACGGCGGGGGCACGAGTACTCAACAGAGAAAGAGAAAACAAAGTCAACTCAGTTCTCATCCTTAATGCCACTTCTATCACCAGCTCACTTTCTGCTCACGACAGTTCAAGCACAGACATTGGAGGATATCTACTCCGATCGAGTGTTTCAGCAGATGCTGTCAGATTGCGCGGATAGCCATTCTCAAGACACACCAAATATGTCCTGCCAATGTGCAGAGGGTCTTGGGCGCGTCTATCAGGATGTGACGACCCAACAGTTCGGAGCTTGATTATGACCGCCCTTCATACTAAAGCAATAGTACGCCATGTTGGTTGACACTGCTTCCAACAATGTGTCTGTACAAAGCCGAGGGCGAGGCGCCGAGCAACTCCATCCAAGCTGCCAGGTGTGATAAGCATGACACGGAGACACCAAGGACTTCTATCTTGCCCGGTTTTGATTTCGGGAATACCAAGGCCGAACTTTTGGAGCGAATATCGGAGATAGTCCCTGAGAATCGCGGCGGAAAGCACGACAAATTCGTGCTCCTTGGCCAGGTCCAAATGCTCATCTACCCACGACTGATCCATTTTCACCATCTCCCCAACTTTATCTCCGTGACGATCACAGATTTCAAAAATAACGGATGAAGATCCGTTGAAAAAAGCGGGCCAGGTTGCTTTTCTCAGAGACAAAGTCGCTACTGTCGTGGTAAAGACGAGACAACCTGGATATTTTGATGCTGTTTTAACAACGATGGGATCAAGTGGATAAAAGAGCATTTTCCACGGGCTGTGAGGTGAGTCTCGCCAAACTTTGTCTGTAACTGCTGGTTCCGGCAGAAACTTCAGTTCTGACCTTGGCTCATTGACAGAAGGCAAATCTTTCAGTGTTTCTAGGCACATGGGTTTGTGAAACCAGACTTCCTCCATGTCCAGTTTTCGCAAGCCGCGATTCGGGTCCTGAAAATAAAACCGCACCAGCGTCCCGACTTTTAGATCATCCAAGTGACCGTCCCAGATGTACTTGACTCGGCCAGTCCATGCCGCCCAACTCCAGCTGGGAATTTGTGGGGTGGACTCTCTTCTCTGTGCAAAGGCAAGGCTTTGCCAAAAGAGTGCCTGTGAGAAATGCTTCTCTGGGAGTCCATATACTAGTTTGGTTTCTTGTATTCCTGCAATCATTTTTCCTACACCAGCAAAGGCGTTTAGAATATCTGATTCGTAGGTCAAAATTCTTGCAGTGTACTGCTGAACAGCATCGCAATAGCTTTGCATGTCACCAGACTTAGATTTAGGCCAATCCGAGATGCTCCCAAGCTCTTCTTGTTCTGACGTGGTTGGGCAGTTAAAGTACATCTGAAAGTCTGTTATATAGATGCATCTTAGGGATAGCATGTGTTCTTGATATGTCCAGCCACGAGTATTCCACACAGAATCTGTAATAGTGCGTTGGAAGTTGCCGGAGATCGCACGACACTTGTCCGAGAACATTCGGGTGTCGTTCCATAGTGATGATCGTCTCGGTCTGTCTCTGACACCTGGTAACTCAGCCGTAAGCGGGTTTTGCAGTGCTATAACAATGGTAAAAGCCGCAGTAGCATATATTTGGTCCATGGCTTGAATTTGTGCATGTTTAGAAATGGAATCGTCTTGTATAATGCAGAATTTATCGATCCAAATGTATTGCTCTCCAATCTCGCGACAAAGATTTATTGCATCAGAGATCAAGGCCGGTACATTTTCTTCTTCTAGTGAGCCAGCCTGCATGAGGCGTTCGAGGTTGTTTTGCTCCAGTTGAATATCTGGAGAGTCCGAGAGTGAACTCCACGTATAACTTAAAGCCACAAACCTCGGAGGCAGAAACCTGGGTGGCTCTATTACGCAGTGGCGATAAGTGTCGACGAGGCGAAACTGTGATGGTAAATTCGTAGTGTTTGCAACCTTGCAACGAGGCCCATGGTATGTTTCACATGTGCTGGTCCAGATCTTGATCAATTTCGAGTCAAAATGAGACTTCTCCCAGCGTTCTACCCGAAACAGGTTAGCCATAGAGTGGCGATAGTGAAGTTTAAGCTGAAGTCCAATGGCTGGAGGTCTTCGGCCGGGTATGCCTGCTGGCTCCGAAACTTTAATACCAGGATCCACTTGAAATAATTGCTGTCTATGATTAACTTCTCGAGCGCCAGCCGTAGAGGCATCAAATTTAAATGTTTGCCCTTGAAGATCATGCCCATCAGGAGTCGTTGCAACTATGTAAAGAACAGCAAGTACAGCTTCATCGGTTCTTTGCAGAGCAGGAGCATTATTGCCTTCATGAATGTTGTCCAATCTTAGATCATCTTCTTCAATCCTATACTCTCCCATTTTCTCAAAAAACAATGGATCCAGGACTTTAAGTGAACCTTCGCCCAAGCAGTATGGGCCATATATTGTGATCTTCGTTTGTAAAAGCGCATTGAAATTTGATTGATCAGGCTTTCGGAATCTCTCCAAGATAGAATTAGCAATTAGTTGACATAATATGCAGCTCACGCGTGAGAGTATGTTACCCAGACTGAACGAGTACCTGGTTACGAAATCATCTGGATCTCTCATACACTGGAATACATGTGTCGCATCATTCCAGATCTGACAAGCATCGCAGAGGTGAGGATTGATGGGCAGAGTCTCGAGACAGATGCCGCACTTGGGTGCCGCCGAGGTCGAGTGCAGCGAGTTGGAAACAATTTTTTTCAGGACAAGAGATTGTGGAGGAGCGCGACGACGCTGCGAAGTTTTCAGCTTTTTAGCTTCGAAACCATTTGATAAAAGGTTTTCGGCCATAGAGAGTGCTCTACTGGGGCTTGACTATGATATTGTGGCCAAGTTTTCGGTCCAGTTCAGGTTTCCAAGACGACCATCCGGTTGAGTTGATGTCTTCGATGTAATTCAGATATCATGGTTAGCCGGATTGTGAGGCGCAGGCAGAACGGTTGGTGCTCGATCAGGCTAGCACGCCAGCATACGTAGTAAGCAAGAAGTCGTTCTATTCTAGTTTGTGCTAAACCTAATACGGTTATCAGGGATCTTTAATTGTAATAGCTCTGTCAACTCTGGTTGAAAGGGTGAATTGTAACGTGCATGCCACCGAACAGGGGCTTCTCAGAAGGCACCAGGATGTCAGAAGTACGCAATTGGTTGGTGAAGAGTAGGGGATACACCATCCACAGTTGTTTGACAGGTGGGCAGCTCCTCTCTCAGCCAGTTAAGAGTGTCTTCATCAACCCTTTCAAATTGATCCGCAGTTGTGCCAACGATGATGATAAGGCGCATCGGGCGTTGATTGAAGGTCGCATGCGACAACAGACTCGAAAGATTGGCAGTCGAAGGGATGATGAAGTTTACATCTATACTGCCATCTGTAATGGACTAACTCAAGATTATGGACTGCTCGCTGTTGTTCGCATCCGACGTCACGTCAGTATTTGAGTCATCATAGCTACTCAAGAGTCCACCATTTTTCCAAATCAACCGTTCATACTGCCTGGCCCTAATGCGTCGTGCCCCTTTGACATTGCTGCTGTTAACTTTTCTCCGGTTATCATCGCCTTTCTTGTGTGGTCTCGTTTGTGCTGCTCTCCGCGCCATCCTCCGCGCCATCCTCCACGCCATCTTCCGTACCACCCTCCGACCCGTCTTCCGAGCTATCTTCCGTTTCATCCTCTTTGTCGTCCAGATCTTCTATGCTATCCCCCCATCCTCTTCTGCCTCTCTGCGTTGCTCCATCATTAGATCATACGCCCATGCACTGGCCTCTTTGATCCAGAAAGTTATTCGATCTTTCTCGGAGACTCCGGAAAAGGCCCAGAACTTCTCAATGACAAAGTGGCGCTCATGAAAAATCGATCCCTCAAAAGGTTCCACAGCTCTTCATCAAATTTAGCATTCCCCTCACGGTCAACTAGGTCTGCCTTGGTATTTGACGGCCAGAATAGTTGTCGCAGCATGTCGTCTCCCAGAAAGAAATCGTACATAAGGATTATACCCTTATCCAGTGTTTGCATCCAAAGAGACTGCCTATCCTTACCCACTTCAAGCACTTCATCTATATTGAGATTGTTCCGTTCCAGTGCTCTGCACCTCTCATCCCAACAACCAGTATTCCATGCATCATTTGATAGGGTGGACCCAAACTTATCCACATGATTGACATCGGCCGCAGCTGAGATCAGCAGACAGAATTTTTCTTCAAGAACTTCGCGACATGATTCCGTTTTGGGCCCTCGGACCCACCCTCCTACGGCACAAGAAAGCATGCTCATGTCATTGATGATTGCATGAGCATTCGCGCCACCGTCCAATAGGATACCAGCCATTTCTAAGGAGAAGCGATCAGATCGATTTAAAAATATGCCAATCGGGAGCAACCATAATTGCCTTGCTCCAACTCATTTTCTTCGTCTTTCATAGCCTTGCAAATATGTCTTGCTAAGCTGACCAATCTTTTTACACCATCAAACATAGTACGCTTTTCTTCATTGATAATAAATGCTTGCAAAGTCGAAATATCGATGACATCTTTTTTCGCGATGTATTCCATAACCCTACAGGTGCCTTCCATTCTTGTTGTGTCAGGCGCTTTCTTGAGGAAAGTACCCAGCGCTATCATCGTCCTGAAACCCTCGAGAACGCTCTCGCCAGCCCTAAAGTTATTAATTAAAGACATAATACTGACATATCGCAGCTCACTCACTTCAAGCTTGAAACCCCTATTCCCTGGCTATCGAGATATTGGAACACATCGATTCGACCGACAAATGCCGCGACCTATTTGATGTCCAAATCAGAAACAACATTCTTCTTTCTTATTTATGAGTACTCCGTACGTAGCAGCAATAGGATACTTACAACAACACAGCAATTCATACCCTGCTCGTCCACATTATAAGGGCTTATTTTACCTAGTCGAAATGCAGAATCAATTTCCTTCAATGTTCTTCCGCCGCCGAAAAGGTCGAAGTAGGGCGTTCCCCACCCTAAACTTGGGACGATGTTAAAGGCATTCAACTGTGCATACAGGTAAGGTTTTGGCTGAGTGTCCGTACAATCCATAAAGTCTCCCTGAATCCATGTTGAACAGATGCCAGACCGTGGTCGGAACGAAAATCCATATTCATGGGTTCTGTTCGGCTTGAGCACAGCTGTTGAAATACATGGAATGGTTATGTCAAGGGTACCTATAGGTAACTCAAACGAGAATAAATGAGAGTTTTGTCTGCGCCACTTTCTTGCCCTTCCATTGAATCCGATTCCCTCAGTGGCCAAGGCAAAGGTATCTCTTGATCTCTTTCTTGAAATTGGTGCTTCCTGGAGTGAGCCTCTTATTTGGGAAGAAGAGACTTCTTCTGGATAAATCCAATTGTCAAATGAAGTGGCTGTAGAGTTGTAAGACATAGCCGCGACCTCTTGGGTAGTAGATGCAACAAAGGTTTTCGAATTCGGATTGAAGAGAATAGAGCGTTTGAACTGAAACTAGCTTATCATTCTGGGAGAGAATATTGAAGATAGCCTCTCGAAAACTAGGTTGCAGGAGGAGTAAAGAACGTAGCATATCATTTCGACTGTTTCCGTAGAATCGAATTTCGCGACCGCTGTTCCTTGTTGAGATTCGGGTATGTGCTAGTTCTTGGGATAGATGATCAAGTTTGGAGTGAGTTATTTTATGTTGCTGAAGATTTTTTTGATTGGTATTGATGATACCCTTGTTCATCGCAGTCGCTTGTCTGTTCAATCCAGAAGTGGTTTCCTTCAAGTTGGCTTGCTGAATTTGATTTCCCTCGCGGAACTGTTTGATCTGTCGCTCCACCTTATGTATAGACTTTGTGTTCACTGTAATCTGTCGGAATCCTTCTTGTAGATTGTGTTCAACCTTCTCCTGAGAAAGGAGGTTCTGTTCTCTGGATGATCATTGACTTAGTAAAGAACCAAAGTTGAAATAGATTAATTGATTTACCTGTTAATGAGTTCTAACGCAAGTTTGAGACTTGATTTCGACATTTCTAGCCTCTGCAAAGAATTTTGAATCCTTTTTTCGTCAAATACAAATTTGATTCTTCCCCATACGTTAGACATCCCCTTATAACGCTTGGTCAGGTTAAGCAATAGTAACAACTCGCGATTGAGAGCGTTCAAGGCAGAAGTGAATTGAGGTAAGGCCTTATTAAGGGACGTAGGTGTGACTGAATTTGGCAAGGAAAATTGCCTTGCTTTCTCCAGGTAACTCTTTGAATTTTCGACAAGGACGATATTGTCATGAATGGCAGTCTGCAAATTCTCGACTTCGGCTGGCGCATCCTTAATAGCGGTAAGAAACTGGTAGACCTGGTTGCCAGCCCTTATCACGACATCGGCCACTCCGATGACTGCGAAAGAGCTTGCAGCCACAGAGAACGGCTCTGCCACGTTGCAATTCAGAGCAAAATCGACGGCGAAAAAGCGTGATACATGAAAGAGTCCAACAGATTCTAATGGAAATGGAAGTAAATTGAGCTGAAGGGGATGGAAAGACAGAGACAGAAGAGACCGCAGAGGTCAAGGATTGCACTGCTACAAGGCTGTGTGCCGGCGAGGCTGAATTCCACCCCACACTGGCACAGCACAATCATCTTTTGGATAAGGCGCTCTCCCGGGGTAAGAGTGAGCCTTGCAAGAGACATGGCGGCGCATCGCTTGTGTCACCTACCCCATTGATGCCCGGCTTGTTTCACTGGTCTTTAACGCTCAGCTTAGGCTCTCGAGTTTCGAGAATTCGAGCAGAGGACATGGCGCCCGCAATGGTAATTCCTTTGCCTCGTAAATGGCTACCCAATTTACAAACATAAAGTCGATGATCCGGGCTGATGCCTCCACCGCATATTTCAAGAGGATTGCAAATATCTTCTAGGCCTGGCCACTCGATAACATGCATTCTTCAACGGCTCCGCTGGTATTTCTAGGGCGTATAGGGGGACTCTCAGGATCACCCCTCCGCAGGTATTGAAGCGTGTGAAGGTTGGAAGGCTTCTGTAGATTCACTATTGAAACTCTTCAACAGGAAGATACCGGGTTCATTTTACGACGTCGGTAGGGAGTAAAGTTACTTCAAATCTCATATAAATTGAGAGAGCCCGGAGTAAGTAACCTTCACCGACACGCCCAGGTGGAGATAGTATGTTAGATAAGTCCCCACCCCTGTATCTTGCTCGGCCACAGGGTGAACAGCCTGCAAAGTTCGGACGTTGAGTTCGGCACCGCATTGGCCAGATGCAAGGCGTGTAAGGCCTCATGGCACGCGCCGGTCCACTCCAGAGCTCTCACGGCATTCCCAAGTGGTCTAGAAACATCGCCAGGAGATCGTTAGCTTCGTTGGCATGGACAAAAAACCGACGTCCACCGAGCTTAAGAATATGCATTATCTGCAGCATACGGTGAATGAAACACTGTGGCTCTATTCGGTCGTGGCGTATAGCGTGCAAATGGCACTGAAAGACACCACTCTTCCGCGTGGCGGTGGTCCAGATGACAAGCAGTCATTGGCGTGCTCGAGGGTACACCGATCGCATACTTCACTTTAATCTTGCAGCGGCGTACGTTCCGTTTTACTGGGGTAAGAATCCCATCGTGGGGACGCTTTCACTGTCTGAGACCAACATAGACCGTCCTGCCAGGTCTGCGCGTTTGCATCGGACGACAGTTTTCGTCGACAGAGATGGCGTACAGTGTGGTCAGCATCCTACAGATATTCGACCAAGTTAAATGCCAAATAGACGAGGAGCCGTCGTGGAAGAGCGAGATTGCGGTGCAGC